GCCCACACCAGTGTCACCTCTGCAGTGTTCAGGCTGTGGCTGTCAAAGCATAGGTTGCAGGTCTGCCAGCTGGGCATTGCCCATGAGGACCAGATCCAGGGGGGAAATGCCAGTCTACAACCTAACTCAAGTGAAGTATATCACACAGACTGTCTATGCCCTCATAAGCAGACACACACAGAGAACTAGCATGAAGCAGCTGATACAAAGACACCCTTTGTGAACAACTGGACTAGGCATAGTGGGATGCCAGGTCTGAACAACTACAGACCCAGCACTGCTCTCTTGTTCATAAAGAGCTGCTTCTGATGCACTAAATAGTTTCATCTTCCAGGTTTCAGAGCTGCTTTCTCAAGAAAGTTCACCTGTTTCAGGCTGGAGCTGAGGTAGAAGCTTGGTTTTACTTTCTAAACAAGTTACAAGTAATGGTCCATGTTAAATGATTTGCTGGGTTAGTCCAGGAAGCCATGTGATATGCTGCAAAGCCACGTATGACAGCTTCCCTTAAAAAGTCCCTTCAGGAGTCAAGAATATGTGCATTAAATAGTCAGGTAGCTGAAGCCCCAACCTCCTTTTAGCAACTGTGTTTTTGATGAATGGTTCTATAAAGCCTTTTATGGACAGGAATATTTTCAATACTTTTGGGGGGAAAAATTAAGTAGGAGGGATTGAAATTTCCCTTGTGTAAGTTTGCAGTTTAGGCACTGCAGTGGCTGGGTTGTGTTAGCTCCTGAAAACAAAAGGCCAGAACAAGGCTAGTTTCCTTTCTACAACTAACCCAAACAACATGCAAACAATAAGCAAACAACACAAATAGCAAAAGGAGGGACATAGGTAGGATTTAAGGTATTTAAAAATCTTGAGTGTATGCAATTCAGTAGGTAAGGGACTTTTCACCGCATGGACTTTTATTCTCATCATGTCTCTTTAAAGCAGCCTGAAAAGAGAAAGATGGACTAACCCACATTGCAGCTACCAAAAGAATAACGTTTTGTTTAGGTGGCTTTCCACCTTCTGGGCCTGGGAGGAAAACATGTGCAGAGCAGTGACTACCACGGGAAGAACCATGTAGAGCAACATTTGCAGAACAGTGTTTTTTGAACATGCTGTCAGTAAAGGTGCATTAGAGTCTGTTTCCCTTGTGTAAACCTGGGAAAGATTTTAGTTTTCCCATTTCGATTATAAGAAATGTTAGGTGTTCCCTGAATTTTACAGGCTTAGCTTTGCTCGTATGGCCTGGGGAGAGACAAACAAAGAGGACTAAAGTAAGTAGCTCACCTCCTTGCCAGCTGTGCTGCATCTGTTGCAGCACTGCCATTGACCAGAAGAGAAACGTTGGAAACTGCTCCAGCTAGAAAACACTCCACAATGCCTTGGTTCCTCCTTGGGCAATAGCCAAAGTCATCCCCAGTTACTATTAGCTTCACTCTGTCCTGGAGCATCCTTATGGGTCAGCCCTGACAACAGCAAAGCAAAGGAGAAGAAAAATAAAAAACAAAGCAGTGACTAATCTGCAGATTAAGAGGAACCAGAAAACAACAGGCTCAGGTATTGGATGAATCAAAAAGTAAGTCAGTCTCTGACTACATCTGCTGCTCCACTTTAGCTGTTTACAACTATGCATATATTCTTCAGTATGTATTATTTCTATTTTTTACCATAACTGCTGCTCTTGCAAATAATATTCTACCCCTCCTCCAGTAGCAACATAGCCCTAGTTCCCTTTTCTTTGCAGAGGGAAGGATTGTCCTTAATCTGTGGTATGTATCCAGATTAAATGTAGTTTGTCCAGTTTGAAAGGTCAGTTTCTTACGTGTCTTTTTAAAAGGTTGATGGTAGCTCGGGGTTCAAAATCCCTTTACTGCCATGCTCCAGCAGTTAGCTTTACAGGATCTGACGAGGAGTGACCACCACAAATGCAGCCCGCACACAATCCTCCTAGAAGCAACCAAGCGATGCTTCAGGTTCAGTGACTGACTTTGGGTAGCTGGCTCGCAGCGGCAGTCCAGCCTGACGAGCGTGTGAGCTGGGTCCAGGTCCCCTGCACGCTGAGATCTGAAGTCGCATCACAGAAACAACCGGAGCCTTTCCCACATCCAGACTTTGGCAGACGCAACACTTGGGAGAATTAAAGAATGGGAGAAAGGAGGCAGCTTGGCCCCCCACGGTGCTCACATACCCTCTCCCCCACTGGGGTCCAAGCCCGGCGAGCAAGAGCGGGTGCACAGGGCTGTGCCAGGTTCCTCAGCACTTGCCTGTCACCGCAGTTCAGCTGCCCAAGGCGGCATGAGGTTTCTTCAGCGTTTTCCACACGGGAAGCCGGGTTTTCTGCTTCGCTAGGACTGCGCCAAAGCCTGGCTCAGACCGCAGCGAGGGTGCTAGGCCTCTTCCTCTCGGCTCCACAGCAGCTGAGCGTCTTCTCTGGCTGCGGCTGCGGGGGGGAGCCGGCTGCCCGGCCGTGCCAGCACAAGGAGGAAGTGTCTAGCGCTGCAGCCCCCGGGGGCAGCAGGGCCGCGCAGCACCGGCGAGGCGGCCTGGGA